TATGATTTTTTTTTAAATGTCTGCAGAGTGAGGTAGTAAATAGTATTGGTCATGATTTTGGCATGCAATTATTAAAGAATGAAACAGTAAAGCAACATAAAAATGACCACAGTTGTAGTTGGGGAGATGTAGAACAAGAATTTGCAGACTACTATTTTATTTTTTCTTTATACATTTTTTAATATGTATACCAGCACCAAGTGTCTCAGGCCAAAACATGCATAAAACATTTTACAAAAACATTTTACAAACTCACTGCAAATGTTTTATTGAAAGTTTAATACATTAAATACAATTAAACAATAAAATACCATTAACTAAGAAGTGCCTGTATGATGTGTTTTTTTTAAATTAGCCTATTAGTATCGATTAATTGACTGTGGTTTCAGTTTGATACTTTTGGTTATTTTAATAAAAAAATCTTACATATTGTGCCTTTAATTGTTATAAATGGAATTACAGACACGTCTCTAAAAATATTAGGATTAAATGTTTAATGTATTTATTAGTGGTAACTGTATTATTTAAGAAATTATTTAAATAAAAAAATATTTAAAATGTACGAAGTGACATGCTCTTGAAGAATATTAATGTAGTTATAATTATGTGTATCATGTATTCGCCAGTGGTTCGTGTCTCTTTAAATTTTCTGCCCTACATTCAGCCACGTCATAATCAGGAAAACACAATGGCGGATGCCAATGCGGCAGTAGCTGTAGTGACAGTTTCATTGGTTCTTTTAGGACTTTCATCGGGGTTAAGCTTGTCGTGGGCTCTTCTACCAGTTGCTGTAGTGGTGTTTATTTTTATACTAGCCAGTGGATTAAAGGGGCGAGATGAACGTGCACATCTGAACGTTTGCGTGTTGGTGCTGGGAGATATAGGGCGCAGTCCTCGCATGCAGTATCATGCGCTCTCTCTCAGCAGACATGGATACAATGTCACCCTAATTGGCTTCCTTGGTATATACATTTTAACGCATGCACTTTACATTGCACCACTTTTTGCTTGTATGCATGATGTCAAATCCCCCCCCATGATTGAATGCAAGGCATGCTAATAAACACTTAAATGTGCATTACATATACAGGTCACAGGGCAAGTTTTTATACCTCTAACACTGGCATGTTGCTCGCATAGGTACTAAACCTCATCAAGACATTCTTGAGGATGACAGGATAGACATACTTCCCATTTCAGAACTAAAGGGGCTCACAGGTAATATAAACATATACACAGAAAGAAAAAATAAAAGCACAAAAGTCCATGCACATTCATTCTGATATAAAGAATGTGAACTGCATTTTGCCTTTCAGTTGGCCCCAAAATTTTCAGGTATGCTTCAAAGGTGATATTCCAGACTTTTCAGCTGTTCTATGTGTTGATGAAGATTGAGGACCAAGGCTATATTCTTATGCAGGTATCTCTCACTTGTATTAAGCAAAGCATGAAGTAATTTCATACTTTGGGGCAGTCGTGGCCTAATGGATAGAGAGTCGGACTTGTAACCCGAAGGTCACAGGTTCGAGTCTTAGTTCCGGTAGGGATTGTAGGTGGGTGGAGTGAATATCCAGCGCTCTCTCCACCTTCAGTACCCTGGACTGAGGTGAGACCCTTGAGCAAGGCACCGAACCCCCAATTGCTCTCCGGGCGCCGCAGCATTGGATGCCCACTGCTTCGGGTGTGTGTTCACGGTGTGTGTGTGTGTGTTCACTATTCACTGCTGTGTGTGTGCATAATAAACAGTTCAGCAATAAGATGGGGTTAAATGCAGAGCACAACTTCTAAATATGAGACACCATTCTTGGCCACATGTCATGGCCTTTCCTTTTCTATATGTAATCATGTCTTAAAGTGAAACTCTAAGTCACATGTGCGTTCTATAGAATCCTCCTGGACTGCCAGCTATAGCAGTGACATGGGTGGCAAGTCGTTTCAGGGGAAACCAGTTCATCATAGACTGGCACAACTACGGATACACCATAATGGCTCTTACTCATGGACAGAATAATTTCATCGTTAAGATGGCAAAATGGTAAGTAACGCTTCTGAAAAGTATCCTGGTAGGACAGTGTTTTTAGGCATATTTGGGAACTGTCTGAATTCCTTTTTCCTGAATTCCTGTCTGCATTGTGTTGTTGGCAGGTATGAGAAGCTCTTTGGATGTTTCTCGGATCATAACTTATGTGTCACTAACGCAATGAGAGAAGATCTTCGGAAAAACTGGAATATTAAGTATGTCCATTTTGAATCAGATAATATTTTATATTTTATTTACATTTTTATTATTATTAAATACGTATTTAAATAATAACAATAATAGTAAAACAGTTTACTTTTAAGACAAGCCAGTTAATCAATTTTGCAATTGTAGGGCGACCACATTATATGACAAGCCACCCCCGATATTTAGAGAAACGCCTCTGAAACTTCAACATGAGCTGTTTATCAGAATGGGCAGTACTTATTTACCATTTAGGCCTAGGTAAGTATTTTCCCATAGAGCCATTTGCTCCCATTCCTTACTGGTACGCATATAGTGGCATTAAAGTTTTTTGAAAACGATAATAGCAGTAATAGCCTCTCGCCATTTAGTCTTTGGCATTTTATAAATGTTTCACATATTCCTCTTTGTAATTTCTTAGTCCTGATGTCACTAAGGAGTACATGGAACTGACAGCCTTCACAGAGCGTAATACTCAGACAGGTGCTGTGACGCACTCTTCTGGGCGACCTGCTCTGCTTCTCAGCAGCACCAGCTGGACTGGTCTGTGCCGTCTACACTAAATATAGGGATGCTATCCGTCATTCCTTTAACTGAAATGTCCTGACTTTTCATTATTTATGTTTTTTATGTTCAGAAGACGAAGACTTCTCAATTCTTTTACAAGCTCTTGAAGGTTATTATGTTATCTCTCCATATATACTACTGTATTGTTTGGGGTCAGTAAGATTTTTTTGTTGTTGTTGAGAAATTAATACATATATTTGGCAAAGATGCATTAAATTGACCAAAATAGACAAAAAAGTACAATTTGTTTTATTTAAAAAAAGAACTTTCTATTTATCAAAAAAAATATCACAGTTTCCACAAAAATATTAAGTAGAACAACTGTTTTCAACGTTGATAATAAGAAATGCTTCCTGAGCAGCAAATCAGTATATTAGAATGATTTCTGAAGGATCATGTGACACTGAAGACTGTAGTAATGAAGCTAAAATTCAGCTTTGCCATCACAGGAATAATTGACATTTTAAAATATATTACAATAGAAATAATATATTTCACAATATTACTGTTTTTACTACATTTTTTAATCAAAAAACTTTTAATAAAACAATTTAAAGAAATCTTACCGACCTTTTGAACTGTAGTGTATTACAACCTTTTCTGTAATTTGCAGTTGCATATTTATGTATTGAAACCTATTAGACTATGTATTCTCTAACATTTGATTTATTTCCTTCTGTCTCCAATAGAGTATGAGAAGTTTGTTGAGGCAGGGCACAAACTTCCATCATTGGTCTGTGTGATTACAGGTACACCACAATGTTTAATATGCATACATGTCCATAAAATCATCTGTGGACCAACACTGTTTCAAACACTGCGATACATGAATACAGGTAAAGGTCCTCAGAAGGAGTATTACAAGAAGCTGATTGACTCTAAAGAATTACAACATATCAAGATTTGCACTCCATGGCTGGAAGCAGAGGATTATCCAGTTTTACTTGGTGAGAGGATCTCTTTAGAAATGTCATAGACCAATGTCTTGGCCTAAAACACGTATTAACAGGAGTATGATTTTTTCGGCACAGGTTCTGCTGATCTTGGGGTCTGCTTGCACAAATCCTCCAGTGGTCTTGACCTTCCAATGAAAGTGGTTGACATGTTTGGATGTTGTCTACCAGTCTGTGCCATACACTTTCAGTGGTAAGATTGTGAGACTGGTCTTTTATAGTAGGTGTAGGTTATGTTAGGTGCCATCTGCTCATTATCTATATCTTGTTAGCTTGCATGAACTGGTGAAACATGAGGAAAATGGGCTCATTTTCAAAGACTCCAAGGAGCTGTCTGAACAATTAAAGGTAAGATATATGTTAATTAAAAACTGTTCTATATGACTCAAGATTCAAAAATCAAGATTTTTTTCTTAAAGGTGCTGTATGTTATTTTTTATATTTAGGTAACCTGCTAAGTTCACATAATTGTTTCTTCCAAAAACGATCCTACAGGCAGTTGTTCAACTTGAAAATGTGTGTTCCGTGTCGGTTTGTCTGTTTTTGTTTTGGTCTGTGTGATTCCACCCACTGCCAGTTTACCCAGTAGTATTTTGACACCCCGGGTTGCCAGTTGTCAGAAAACACAGCCTATTGAAGCAAACAAACTGGGTCAGAGATCGCAGATTCTACCCGACCTAAAGGGCTCTATGATCAGAGGCTTATTAAAACGCAGATAAATCAACTTACGATGTAAGTCTTGTTGCCACCCATTGTCACTTCCTGTTGTGCATCCTCAATCTGGCAACCGGTGTGAGCGTGAATTTGAACTGCAATAGCTATTTCAACCTCTAGCTTGTCAATATTACATACTGCACCTTTAAGGATCTTGCTAATATGAAATGCGTACAGCTAATTCTGTTATCTCTGTAGCTTCTGTTTTCAGACTTCCCTAGTGATCAGGGGAAACTGGGCATTTTCAGGAAGAATCTAAGGGAAAGCGGGCAGCAGCGCTGGGATGAGAACTGGGACCAAAATGTCCTGCCACTTATTAAAGAGCACTGCGACTGACTGTCTAGGTGATGGGTTTATATAAAATTCTCTCAAATCCTTTGACTCCCATTCAATGGAAAGTTACTGTCAGGTATTTGCACAGGGTACATATGTTTAAGCTAACTGTCCCCACAACGGGACAATCAGCATTCCAGCAATGCCATTGGGAAAGACTTGAATATGAGAATAAAAAGCACACTATCTTTGTAAATATTCTGTAAATAAATACTTTATTACAAAGAGATCGTATCTGTCATACATATATTTTGATCATTTCTATAGTGGAGGCTCGGTTGTATGGAAATACTTGAGCGACAGAATCTTTCATGACGACGTGTCTCAGTCCAGCCATTTCTGTAAATAAAAGAAACATTTCATTCATTATGGGAAATCAGGGATTAAGAAAACATTTGACATTAATAGAATATAATAGAATGTTATTAATAAAATGAAACCTACCTAATTCTTTCTTGAAGCAGTCATACGTCTGTGGGTTGCGTACAGTAGATGCAATGTAAACATCAGGATGTTCTTCAACTTTGCAGTTCAGAAGCCTGCTCAGCAGTCTCACCAAACAAGCAATTATATCAGGATCATACACCACATCTGTTTCAAACAAACACAGTAATGTTACTCAAAACTTCTCGAACACCATAACTTCATGTGATCAGATTCAGAGACCTTTTAATCAATGAATGAAAATAAATCACATATGAAACTGTAATGTGTGTGTGTTCCTGCAAATATCCCTGGGTTTTGTGTCACCTGCGGCAATGATGGTGTTGGCCTGTATTCTTTGCAGCTGCTCGTCAGACACATTTTCCCAGTCCAGTTCCTCCACACACACTGACGCACTGTTGCTGTCACAGTTAGTTAAGCAGTTTGTGATATTGTCCTTCAGCCTCTGAAGGACAGTTTGATGGCAGTCGCTGAAGATGTATTTGGTTAGGCTGGATGACCGACACACTACAATGCCAGTAAGTCCAATTCCGCTGCCCAGCTCTAGCACTGTCCTGCATGTACAACACGGAGGTGATCAACAGTGTGCACTTTTAGTTGCATGCAAATGGAATAAGTCAAACAATTAACTAAATAGAGAAAGCCATTTCAATTAATCTTTCATAAGTAGCTGCAGTCATTCTTTCATTGTACATAAAATAGTATGAGAAACTATGTATAAATGATTAACCCATTTAATCCCACCGGTCACAATAGTGACAGTAAAAAAGGTTTTCATTTATAAAGCTCTAGAAAAAACTTGCTGACTGATGTTTTAGTGCACTTCCTGCAAATATGGAAAAAATAAAGTGTCTCAATTAAATATGTGCCGTTTCACATGGTTAGTGCAAATTGTCACATGATCAAACCAGTTTAATTCCTGTTTGCACCTTGAGAAGATGATGGCTGCATAAAAGCTCCAAAACGAAATATGTAAACAAAGATATGACAAAGTTTTGTTACACATTATCTTTAGGATGTCTAGTATTAAAATATGAATTCACATATATTCAGTTTTGTTGCGTGTGGTCATAGAATGAGTAAACATCTTGATGGTCACAATAGTGACCAGTGGGATAACAGTGAATTTAGGTAGCCTATACAATATAAATCCAAATGCAGTTGTTAGTGAAAACTGCACTAAAATGTTGCAATGACAAAATATTGCACTAAATTAAAAGTTCAAATGTAACAAGTCACAATATTGATGTTGTAATACTGGTAGCACTAATATAAAAAAGTTATGATATATGTTACAATAAAGTAACAATTCTGAAGTATGTTGATGTGATGGTTGCTTATTTTTTATTTTTTTTGTCTTTTATCTCAGTGTTCCTATCAATGTTGTATAAGGTTGTTTTTTTTTACGCATAATAGTAACCCTAGAATGTGATCAAACAATTTAAAATAGCTGGGCTAAGATTTATAGTATTTTTTATGACTGCAGAAAAATTTTAATTCAGTATACACATTATCCCACTGGTCACAATTGTGACCGACCATAAAACACAATTTTTCACACACTTTTCAAAAAATAAAAAAATAAAAATAAAACATAATAATAAAAAAATTAATAAAAAAAAAAAAGTATTGATTATTTCAAAGGGTTATTAATGACACATCATTTGGATATTTCAAGTGAATTTACATTAACTTATTAGAATTGTTGTATTTTGGCACAAATTAGTTTATTTGATTGAATGACAGAGAAATAGTGAAAATTTCTAAATAATTGTATCCCACATAAACAACAATCACAAGTAAAATGGCATGGAGTTGTGAGGTGTCAGATTTACTTGTTTTTGAAGATGTGTGTATTCTCCAAAGCCCATTCAGACAGATACAGGGCAGCCTCCCAGGTAACCAGACCTGTGGTTCCTTGGGAGATGAGAGCCACGTTCTCTGCTAGACTAACAGCATCTCCTGTTGGCTGAGATTTGACACTTTCTGATATTATGTTTTGTTATGAGGTAGAAATATCTTTAAGGTCCAATGCTAATGTGATCAGACTCACCAATAAGTAGGTTTTGTAGCACATGTCCTCCTCCTGTGCACATATGACCTCTCCGAGCGCTTCATACAGTACATCCAGAGGTTCAGCAGCCAACATCTCATGCTACAACAATGAGCCTTCATGAAAATATGCTGTATCTCAAAATATGTGGGGAAAAAAAGTACAACATGCTTGTTTGTAAAGACACTAAACCAACCCTTTTTATCAATTCTGTCAGGAAGCGTCTTCTGTATTTCAAAGAGGGGGGATTCTTGAGGCAAATCGGATGTAAACATGTCTACCAAAAAAAGAGAGAAAAAAACTTTAATTTTATCCATTAAATAATTATTTCACTTTCATAATGGCTTGCTTACCTTCTGAAGAATCTCCATTATGATGTCTGAAGTTGTTGTAGTCATAATTTCTCTGTCTAAAGCCTGCAAAAACCATTGCGTTATTTATGCATGTAACGTTGGAGATGATACAGAGAAAACATAAACATTACAACTGTTAATTTACTTTCCTGAAAAACAAAACCAAGTAAGAAAGAAAGAAAGAAAGAAAGAAAAAGAAACGCAGCTCACATATAAATAGTTGTACAAATCATCTGAAAAAATGTCTTAATACATTATGGCATGTTGCAATGTTCTACTTACATCCCATGGAAATGTATTTAAAAGACTCGTGGCGAAGAAGTTGACTTGAAAGGTGTGTATGACTTCCTTTCTTGTTTTGTGGCTCATTCCTTCCCCTTCTTTACCTGTCATTGGATGTGTATAGTTCATATTTTAATATCACACAAGTCTGCTTGCTTGATGCTGTTACTAGAGACTACGGAAGACGCATGGGTGAATTCCATAGTGAATTTCTTCGTGTGTGTCAGTCCACATATGTTGTGGTTGCAGCGCCACCTGCCGGGATGGTTGTGCATCAGCGTCAAATCATATGGCCGTGGCCAGAGCCGTAGAGAGAGAGAGTTGCGACAACTCCGTTCACTCCAATGGACCAGTTTTTTACAGCAATGGCGGGTCGTGGAGCCGCTCAATAGTTCCCGGAAGTTAGCGCTAATACTGTCAGCACCGTAGAGATGCAGTAGAAGAGACCGCTGTGATGAACTTTTAAAAGGTACAAAAAAGTATTTTATCAGCACAGCTAATCAAATTACCCTGTACATTAAAACAGATTATTATTAGATTATTCTTCACTTAATTAGTAGATTTACGGGATGTTATTCATTCTCTTCATGCAGTTTCATCCATCGTTGTGTAATTAAGGCTTTTAAAAGTGATTTTGCTGGTGGGGAGTTATTTAATAGACTTGGATATATTGCAAAGGATGCAGATGGACCTAAGTGAGAATGAAAAGTTTGAAATAGGCGAGCAGTTTTCATTTCAGAATCATGCTAGGCTAAATTTCCAAAAAAGGTATTTTATACACCACAGTAAATCTATACATTATTACTGTGTTTTATAATTAAAAGTTTTAGCTACTAAAGAAGTACTGTGTTGAAGGAACAGACTGAGCAGTGATGCCACAGGACTGCAATGTGATGGAGCATCACTTAACCATTTCTCCTGTTTTTTTCCTTTGCTGTCTTGCTTTCAGAACAAGAACCAAATGAAGACTCCCTGTAAAGAGACATCAACCTCACAATGAGTCTTTCCCTGCTCTTTGTGTCTTTGTGAAAAAGTGCCAGTTCCCTAGTATGATTACATCACATTTTGTTGGTGTAACAAATATATTTTTTATATATTAATAACTGAGGGGTGCACAAGAATCGAAAACATTAAACAAGATTAGTTTTCACTTAATAAAATATATTTTATTTATTTGGAACGAATTTTCTAAGACAACAAACGTAACATTTACCATGAGATTAGTAAAACGACAATGAACAGGTATATTTGTGATTGAACTTGACTAACAAGCAAGTTGTAAGAACACACACACACACACATATAATTATATTTATATAGAGAGGCTGAAGTTACCTTGGCAGAAGACCACGATGTCGTTTATATAGCAAACACAGACTTTTACCATGGTAACTAAAGCCTAAAATATATTAACAAGGCAGGTAAGGAAAGCTGACCACATTAATCCTCAAATATTAGAGGATTTTATCTTTTAAAAACAACACTAATATAACTACCTATATATACCACGTATACTATTTGATGTCTACGTGAATCACGTGACAATCGAGCGTGTTGGACTTCCGTTGACGCAACTCTCTCTTTCTATGGCTCTGGCCGTGGCTTAAGACTACAAGACTACAAGACCCGCCCACAAGAATCTCGACAAGTAGATTTTCTATTGTATTCTAAAAGTACTTTATAAAAATACCTATTTAACTTAATAAGAAAAAAAGAAAAAAAACTTACATCATGTCTAAATATTAGAAAATGTCCGACATCTGTGGCCTGGTGCACACTGTTTAGACTAGCCTTAGTAAGTTATCTATTTTTTTTCCCCCTGCAAGACTGGTCATAACTTTTCAAAACATAAAAACATAGACTGGTCTAATTTGAATCCGAAAAGTAAGATTGATTATCATTTGGTTAACTGCTAGTTAGAGTTTATGCAACTGGCACCGGTCATTTTAAGTATTGCATTTCAGAAAACCCCAGAAACCCTGGCGGTGCCCATTGGGCGGGGCTTGGCGTGGGCGTGGTTTGAAAGATTACAGGATGCAGAGAGACTGCTCTCCTCCTGGCTGAGCATCTTGATGATGATAATGATAATGAAGATGTGCATGCAGCTATTATTTGAGGTTGCTGCTGCCAAAACATTTTATTGCCTGTGCGCAGGGATGGGCAGTATTTCAGATACATGTATTTAAAATACGTATTTGAAATACAATTTAAAAACAGATTAAACTATTATCTGTAAATTTTACCTTGTATTAAGCTGACATTTTTTTTCTTTCATATTGCATAGCCCTTCGGCGGGGGTCCCCCGAAGTTCTCACTTCTCTAATAATTTCCTGAGTTTGCGGTGACTGTCTAAAGATAGGCCTACATCCTGGAGCCCTATACAAATATTTTGTTGTTAGACTAAGACATTACGTAGAAAAAAAAAAGAGAAAGAAAAGAAACAATTTAATGCGCCGAAATGCGAATGCAGTTTAGATTAATAACAAACGACACTGTGGTGTTAAAATGCTCGTCAGTTTCACAAAGCAGCGCAAATTGGCAGTGCCACACCCTCATGTCACCAGCTCCACGAGACACTTCGTTTCACTTCATTGGATCTCAAAGGAACTCAAAATGAGCGTGAGTAATTTTAAAACGATACATTATTCTTTAGTTTTATGTCAAATGGTGTTTTAAAGATTTGTTTATAGTTAAGACAGCATATGTTAGAATGTCTTCTCTATCTTACGTTAGCACAAATAATACAGTGCTCGTAGCAGCTGAAGTCTGGTGTTTATGTCTATTTATACTGTGCAGTATGCTGTCTGTTTGGTGCATTGCATAGTTATTATAGAATAGTGTATACTGAAGCGCCCCCACGTGCATTGCGCATGGGTGTGACCTCCAAATTTCTATCACAATGTTGTACTGGTTAATTACATCAGCTATTGTAAGGTATTTAGAAATACATTACGAAATGCAATTCATAAAAACATGCCTGCATCTCATGTGTCTCACTAAAAGGCAGAAACTACTGGAAATAGTCTGGAACAAACTTCTTATTATTATTTTCTTAAAAAAAAAAACAAGTAGTGAGACAAATTTGTATAGTTATTAATATTTGAAAAACATTTCAAAAACCAAATCAATAACCAAATCAGTGACAGTGTGGCATTACCACATCAAGTGACAAGAAAACCAGGACTGCAGATCATATGACACACATATGTATACAGTTCAAAAGTTTAAGTAAATGAATACTTTTATTCAGAAACGATTAATTAAATTGACCAAAAATGACAGTAAAGACTTATAGATTGTTACAAAAAATATATGCATTGCCAATAAATGTTCAATCAAATAAATCACGGTTTTCACAAAAATATTAAGTAGCACAATCATGTTCAACTGTAATAATAATAAATGTTTCTTGAGCACCAACTCAGCATATTAGAATGACTTCTGGTGGATTATGTGACACCAAAGACTGGAGAGACAGAGGTTAGCTTTGTAGCCTTGGCTATTGTGTTTGCAATACACGTTGTCTGTAACCCTTCAACATTTTAGGGCAATTCATCTTACCTTAACATGTTCAATCCTTTGGCATTTCTAGAAATGAAGCAAGACTGGCCAATTCAAGCCCAACTATGGTCTGAAACCTACCCAGGGGCATTGAAAAGGAGACCTTTAGCTCACTTTCTCTAAAGCTCAGCGAAAGCAGCGTGACTCAGTCATTCTTATGCTAATCCGAAAGACTGAGCATCACTGTCCAGCTTCCCTTTTGCAGTTAAATCAGCAGTTTAGAAAGTTCAGAAAGAAAGAATGAGGCATGCCGCACTGCTCTGAGAGTTGCGTTCTGCAGCAACTTCTGTCTGAGAGCTGGTTTATTGTTACTCACACCGACTAATGTGGAAAGAATTCACTTCTGCTACACATCTGTTCTTTCACATTCTCAAGTGCCTTCTTCCTTCTTTTCCTATCTCTCTTTTTGACCCTCCTTTCTCTCCACTATGCCACTATCTCTTCTGCCATCATTACAACAGCTAGCTACTTTCCTCGGCAGAATCACATAAAGAGGCCTTGTGTAATTCATCTTGCAGCTGCCGACCCAACTTGGCTTCTAAACTTACACCAAATCTCTCAGAGATGGCATGGCCACTAGTTTTTAAAGATTGAATGATTAAAAGATAGCTCTTCTTGTATCCATCTTCTCAGAAAAAGGGTACAAAGCTGTCACTGTGGTGGTACCCTGAAGTACAAAGCTAAAGTTACCCCTAAAAGATAGGCACGTTTTGAAAGGGTACTGCTCCAGTGACAGCTTTGTACCTTTTTCAGACAGAACCTATGCAGAGGTTTTCCAATAGAGCAACAGTGCCACATCTGCAGTTTTTTGAAAGTTCAAGTCTGGCTCTTTGCCTTTCACCATCGGACTAGGATTTTCCTTTCAACGCATTGGAAAATTTGACAGCATTGCTTTTGTGAGGCTGATTCTGTCCACTCCATCATTATAGCTACAGTCTCTATTTGGTTTATAGGGAAAATCAGGCACAGTGCCCAGCTGTGTACAAGTCAAATTTAAGTGGATACACATGTTTGGCTTTTCATGCCAGTAGTGAGATATACAAAAAGAAAATCAAATTACGAATAAAGAGTAACTTCAGCTCTCTCTGTTTCTAACAGGGTATGCTTGTGCAGAATATGTCCTTCAAGTCGGGACAGACTCTGACTCTTACAGGAGTCCCCAATGCTGATTCCACAAAGTAAGTCTCTGCAAAGCAACTTCTAGAATTCAGGACTTTATAAGCACCAGGAGTCATATCTCCCATTTGCTCTTTTGCAGTTTTGCCATTAACATTGGTCACAGCGCCGAGGACGTCGCACTACACGTGAACCCTCGTTTTGATGCCCATGGTGACCAGCACACTGTAGTGTGCAATTCATTCCAGGACGGCAACTGGTGTGAGGAGCACAGAGGGGCCAGCTTTCCATTTAATCAGAACGAGGAGTTCCAGGCAAGACTCATATATATCTTAATGAAACTGCTGTTTAAGCAGATGGTAATCATAATAAATGGGCTGTGGATGAAATTTAATGACCCCTCGGGATTTTAATTAACATATTATCTTTTGTCCTTCCTTCAGATAAAAATCACTTTCACCAATGAGGAGTTCCTGGTGACTCTTCATGACGGTTCTCAGATTAACTTTTCTAACCGTCAAGCTGCTGAGAAGTACAAATATATGCACTTTGAAGGCGAGGTCAGGATCCTTGGGATTGAAATCAAGTAG